GGTCACAAGATTGTTTTGCTTCCTTGTGTGTGACTCTGTGGAAGGAAGAGAAGGACATACTTGGGATACACAGTGTGCTCTTGATTGGTGTAGCAGTCCCATCTGGGGATATTTTAACGATGTCAGCAACAGCAGCAGCATGCCGTTGTTTTGAAGGGAAACTGTGCAAGTCCCTGCTCCCAGCTTTGGGCCTTTTTGGTGAGCTTTCTTCGGTGTCTCCTGGTGTTCGAAGTCGCAGGTATCCAATGCTTAATTTATGGTTGCTGTGGGGGTTCTGCTTTATGCAAACGGAAGAACTTAACATTTGAACTCATCTTGATGTTGGCGGAAACACGTGACCCTGTGTGAGGTGTGATGCCTTTGGCTGCTTATTAGGATATGTGAGTGTGTGTGCTTTTATCTTTTGAATTCGTCCGGAGGGAAACAAGTCTAGTTGAGTGGGAAAGTGTGTTGAATTATTGCTGCTTCGACGTGTCCTTCACCTGCACATGACCTTGGTGAAGGAAACGATCAAAGAGCCCATCTTGCAGAAGTCGACACTAAGTCAAGTTGTTGGTGGGTGCTCTTTTTGTTTTTGTTCCTGCATACACTTGTGGTGCTCACCATGTGTTTGAGGAGCAGAGTGAAGGTGGGATTTCCTCTCGTGTTTGTGTGTCTTATTTGTGGTGTCTGGCTGTAACAATACTTGGGTGTGGTTTCGAGGGGAGTGAGGAGGGAGGTGTGTGTGTGCGTATTCCTTGTTGAGGGATTGGCTTCTTCCCCAGCAACACAATAACAATATGAATCACCCTGCAGGCGACAGTGTGGTGGCGTGGTCCCCGCAGACGGTGCCTCAGCATGTGCTTCTGACGGGTGACGCAGGTGACGCTGACACGGGTTCAGGGCATGCTGGCCACCTGATGTCTCTTGGAGTGGTGGAATAGACATTGAGGGGATTGTTGGTGTGAGGTGTATGGAGGCAGCTGTGGTGTGGTTGTGCTGAGGTGCAGGGGGGAGAGTGAGAAGCCGTAATGAAGTGTGTAGAAAAAGTATTGGGAAAATACAGTGATCTCATCAGGAGAAGCACAAGTGATGTTTCTTCGCTGGTATGCGAGTGGTAACCCCAAGTACACAAGCATGGGGAAGTGTCTACTGTACAAGCTCTTCTGTTGCTGATTGTCTGTGCTCTGCATGCTATTCACTGTGTTTTGCTTCTTTTTCTTTTTTTTCTGAATCAAGACAAACAGCTCCTAGTGGAACTATTAATGCAATCGATGAACATGAAGCTCATGGAAGGGAAATCGCAATTGGCACATCTACAGTGTTGCAAGATACCGAAGAGCATTGGCAGTTGCATTCTCAGCGATATGGGCCTCTGTGAACCTGTTTCAATCCTGCGTCGAGGCAGAAGGAAGACGAGACTGCTGGCGTCTATGGGACTGCAGTTGAGAGACATCCAGGTGTTGTGTCTGGTACTGATGGTTGTAATTGAACCGTTTCTTTGCTGTGCCGCTGCGGCTGGTGGCATGGCCACCCGAACGAGAATGGCCACACCTGCAGACGACGACGATTCCTTGGTGATACTCAGGAACTGCTTTCCCAGCGTTATACTCAGTTATGTCACCATCACGTACACCTGTGAGGTTAACAATGCCCAACCGCTGATTGATTTGGAGCTCTTCGCTTCGTACTATCATAAAGAAGACCTCATTCCTGGATGGCCGGCGACTCTGGACGCGGAAACCAATGCCATTACGTTCCTGCCTGATCGTGGGGCGCCTTCAGGACGTTGGGAATTGGTCATTACAGGGCGTCCTGACATTTCAAGCACTGCCACATCTCGGACGAGCAATAAAAGCATGGACTTCATGCTGATTGCAGAGACCAATGCGAATTTCGATTCAGAATATCCATATTACGGTATGGGTGTATCGTTTGCACCCAATCTTCCAAGTGGCATCACGGCTTCCGACTACATGATGGTGCGTTCTTTCAATGACTGCCAGTACACCACAACAACCTGCACCGACACTGTTGGGTGCCACAGAATGACGCGAACCGCGCATCTTCCCCCTCCGGGCGAATACTGGCTCTGTGTGACGTCAAATGACTGGCATTCCCAATACCTTCCGTGGGGTTTGTTCCCTCTTGAGGTGAAGGTGCTGTTGGCCACGCCGCTGTACTTGACAGCTGGTACAGACAGAAATGTCGTGCTGCAGGATGCGGTATCTGTGGTCAGTGGGTTGGACCGTGT